AGGAGATTCCCCTTTAGCTCAACTGGCTGGGTCCCTGTTGAGTGACGCCGGAGGCCTGGGTTCGAGTCCCCAACGGTGGGGGGCCGACCTGAGGCGGCAGCTGCAAAGATGCATACCCACGTGAACCCAAAAGCGCTACAATACTCTTCTTGTGTCTAATTTCTATTTTGCATTTTTTTAAATAAAAAGTAACTGAAAATAGTATGAAAATGTCTTCTCACCTCTTTGTCCACTGTGGGTAATGGGGACTCTCCGTTATAAACGTAAATGTAAAGCCCCAAAATAAACACAGAGTAATAAATAACGTGTTCTACATTGACCTTTTTATTTAGTGATAGACAAAAAGCAGGGCAATGACTTTCTCTGCAAACTAGTCAAAGAAGTAAGTAGGCGACTCAAATCTCAAAGCCCAGCAGCAACAATAATTAATAAAGTGTGCATTCTCCTGTCATGGTACAAAACAGAACAATGTATCGGGAATGTTTGCAAATCTTGCGTTAATTGTACAGTATATGCTTTTGGGAACACATTTTGCTTCTGCAGAGGGTTTTGGAATCTACGTGGTCTCCCCGCATAGTTATAGACAATGAAAATGTCTCTGGAATAGGCATACTGTATAAATGATAAAGCTGAGGCTATGGAGAAAAAAATTGCAATGGAAGTGCATCTGCAACGGAAAGCAACTGGTTTGACATGTACAGTAAATGTGGCGTGTCAAATGTGCATATCCTACTGTGTGAGCGCATTTGCAAGGCTATTAAAAAAGGTTGATTGACAGTCTGGGTGTGGCGAGTTTCGACTGTTTTCTGCCAGTCTTGGGCAAAAGGAACCCATTTTTGACTGGAAGGTTCACTTATTCTGCTCGTATATGAAAATATAATATAAATACACTAAGGGATTCAGTTAAGTTGAGTTCCCATTTAAAAAAAATCTGCAAGCCTGCACTACAACAGCCATAGTATGGAGACAAAGACTTTTACGGGAAGAGACATGGTGCTTTAGCTGCCTCAGCTTGCAAAGTGCGAAGGGTAAGCAAATACAGCAGGCTTCATCTGAAATACCCGATTATAGTGCATAATACAAGGTATTATTGCTGTATTGAATTATACATTCTATTATAAATATTTCGTCGCAGCCTGTTCTTCAGGAAAACACCACGCACGTGAAACGATCTTCAAAGACTACCAGGACAGTAAAAAAGAAAGCGGTAAGAGGGATGAAAAGAAAAGTTTATTTTGATGTCTGTTCCACAACTGCTGATTACTACTGTGTGATGTTCTTTCTTACATGTATTCTGCTCTCGGCCACGGGCCAGGGTGCCAGTCTGGAAAAAGTTCGAGAGCACCTGTGTGGAGACTTTACAACAGCAGCGGGAGCAGTACGACTCATTGTTGGGAAGGGTTGGGAGGTTGGAGACACTCCTAAAAATGCAGAAGCTGGAGACAGTATATTCTGGCAGTCAAACGCTAGGTCAGCTGTCTCTGAACAGACCTTCATTTCTTGAAAAGTGCCTCTCCTCACCGCGCAGAGCCCTCCGCCCCCAGCAGAATGCACACTGCCCCCTTGCACACTGGCCCAGGACACTCTATCCCGGACTCTCTGCTCACCTCCTCACAGGAATTGGCTGGTGCTGTCCCCGCTGTCTATCTCAACTCAGGAAGCACCATCTACACAGCAGAATTCACAGATGCCAATGCAATGTACAGTTCTCCCAGATATCAAACTTTTGCCCACCAGTCAAGAGAAGGAGCAGACCGCTACGCCACTCTTCTGTTTCATAATCTTGTGACTTTCGAAATTTACTGGGGGTGGACCACATCCATAAATTTCAGTTGGTCCAGAGGCTAAAGGGCCTTGCCTTGCAATCTCCGGGAAACCATTTTAGGCATGGTGAATCGGAGATTCTCAAAACTTACTTTGTATGATTGGAAACAAATATGTGATTGGATCAAGGGGATGCTTCGAAGAAAGAGGCGCTCTTTTTCTCTGGTTTAACAGTCTGTGCAGCAACAAAACAATCCGTTTAAACAAGAAAGTGTGGTTTTACTTTTTGTCAATTAAAAAAGTATTTTCGTGTCCAATAAAGTGTCCTTCAGTTGGGTAAGCATGATTTGCATGAAACAACACGTGGTCATTGTTATGATTTCTCTATTATTATCAAAACCCTCAACTCGTTCACTTGTGGTTATTTTGGAAATATTTTGATATGCTCCTTTTAACTACACTGCTGTCAATATTGTAGCAATTGACAAAATGAAACGCTTGGAGTTTGTAATGTAGGGCACTGTGAACGAGTTAAACTTTAATGCTGGACAAATAAATGTATTTCCCACATTTGATTGCTGGTTGCCTTACGTCAGTGGTTCTCAAACTATGGCTGAGCGCCGCCAGGTGGTACGCCATATGACCCTAGAACTTTGTCGTGTGCACTGAAAAACCGGGACGGGTTTTCGTATTTTCTATTTTAATACGTGTCAAATAGCTACTATGTAATTCTATACCATTCTATAGGAATGCGTGCTTCTAATGAAAGTGACCAATTGTATTTAAAAAAAGCTATCTCCAGCAAATAGGGAGGTAGGAGAATGTGCATGATTTTGGAACAATGCTAATGTTGTAAGCACAGGAATGCATATAAATGTGTGCTACGAGCGCTGGCAATTTTGTGAGCACAGGAAAGCGTGATAGATAACAAAAAAATATTTCAGAAATGTTCTAGGTTAATTTAAGAAAAATACACCGAGCGTCTCTGTGTTTCACTCCCATGTGGATGAAATAAAAACTTGTGTTTGTTTTTCTTCTTTAAAGCTCTTTGAGAAGCCACCTTTAAAGGCACTATATCAAATAAAGTTTATCATTATCATATTTATTATATGTGTATGTGAGTGTGTACGCACACGTGCGCTCATGTTGGTCATTGAGAATTTCTGGGAATGTGACTTGTAGGTGGTACTTGGATGCTTTGGTTTGATCAGGGGTGGTACTTGGTGGTACTTGGTCCAAAAAGTTTGAGAACTACTGCCTTATGTTAAACAGTATCAATGACAGCAGTGCATTCTACTGAAAATTCCTTCCCATCCCCCTGAACTGTTCTGTTCTATTCTATTCTACATAACATTACACAGCGGGGTGTTGTTAGGTAGTTCAATATACATTATAAACCCCTCTCCCCCTCTACAGCTAACGGAACAATAGAAAGGCAACAGCTCCTTAATAAGCTATTGCATGCAGTAGGTCTGATATCTACTTTCATACACAATTAGGAATTAACAATTAAAAATCATAAATATGTAGTGCAATGTAGTGTAATTGAAACCCTCAAGGTTTAAAAAAAATCAAACAGTTGAGTAGTTTAAATCCCCAGAAAGAAATAAGGATGAATGCAAAACACTGCATAATGCTTATAACTGAAATCTCAGGCAACAAATTGTGGCGAGCGTTGCACTACTCTTTTGTTAGCTTCATGATGTCACCATTTAATCTTAGCGTTAATTTGATGGCTGAATCCCTAGCTAGACCCATGGCCTAGGTATTATGGAAAATGTTTAATGCAAAGTATAGAGAAGTCCAATTAACACACAAAAATGTAACAAAAACTATAATTTCAATAAACCTGGCTTTAACTGTACTTCTTCCCAATTTTCACGTGTTTAAAAATTATATCCTTTCAGTTATATAGCGCTTCTCTGGAAACCCCAGTGAAAGCGCGCTACAGGTAACGGGAACTTCCCTCAACCGCGTAAATGAAAATAACTAAGTTGTTAAGGATTACAGTTTAAGTGCACATCAAAAAGTTGCTATATATGTAGATAGAAATTTATAAATTCATATATTTTAGACCCACCTATTCATGTTAACTGCAATACCAAGGCCTATCACCCCTTCTTTCGGTTCTAATATGTTTCTAAAGCATTGCATTCACCACTTAATCATTTCAGTTTTCACATCAGCAATTTGTAACATATCAGAGATTTCTGGGGGTTCAATTCTCTTTCTAACACTAACAGAAACAAAACATTATAATTTAAATTCAGAAGTGTGACAAATCCTTTCAAGTTTTACTTGCATATGTAGAAATACCATGATAACGACAAAGGAAGCTTGCTAATTTTTTGTGGTATTCCCTGTGATATTAAACAAAATTAGTTCCTCAAATAACTTTACTTTTAAATAAATTTGTGGGAACGTCAAAGTAGCATTATAAATACAGGTGGATAGCTGCGTCAGCATGCGTAGGCTGCAAAGGAACAAGTAATAGGTTTATTCTATGCTGAAAAAAAGAAGAAAGAGAACACAACGTTTCGGCCGTGGAGCCTTCTTCTTCGCACCTGAAGAAGGCTCCACGGCCGAAACGTTGTGTTCTCTTTCTTCTTTTTTTCAGCATGGAATAAACCTATTACTTGTTCCTTTGCATTATAAATACAGTACAGTATTTCTAGTTTGTAAAGTAACTTAAGATTTGGAAGAGGAGGTCTTCGCCAGAGATGCAGATAATAGATCAGAAATCAGTTCAACTGATGCAGTTCAACAAAGGCTGGGGTCAACTGATCAAAAGATCACAAATGAAAGATCTGGTGGTCGTGAACTTGCTGTTTTTGTATGGTGCCGACGGCACAGAGTGATGTCACGGCCAGAAAAAAGAAGGCGTTATATATTGAAATGTAAAATATCCACCCCACCCGACCAGACAGACTTGGAATACAAATTGCATCCATTGTTTTCATCACATCCAGTAATTTAAGTACTGAGTGTGTTGGTACTTGTAAACGTCCTTGTAGATAGTCACATGTTTACCCAATAAAACAGGGCACTATATCTTGGAAACAAAAGCAGCACAAACGCTACTTTCAACAGCACAAACTGGCACAATGCAGCCCTAACAATTGCGGTGGGCTTAATCGTTTGTGCTGTTTCTTGGGTGGGGGGAGCTCTTCCTGGAGCTGGACAAGCAAACATGTCCTGGATCATTACATTGCAGACTGCAGAAGACTCTACTTTACCTGGGAGAAATGTGACGATCTAACAAAGGCAGTCATATCTGTGTCTTCAGAGGTCAAGGTGTGCCCTCACGCTGTATTCTACACCAAGGACTGACCAGAAACACAAAGATAAAAGGACTGTGAGCTAATCGTTTCATGTTTGCGCATAAGACCCATGTAAATACAAACACTTGGATAATGCCAGTTTTTCAAAGAACCTAGATATATGTTCACTTCTTCTTTTCCAATATTGCCATGTGAGATGGTACTTGATGGTAGTACTCTTGTTTCTTGGATGTGTTATGAACTGTGTAAAGGTTCGAGTCCCCAGCGGTGGGGGGCTGATATGAGGCGGCAGCAGCGAGAGCGCATACCCACATGAACCCAAGAGCGCTACATTTGGTGTTAGGAGTGGGATGGGATAGCCCTTCGCTGAGGACGGCGAATTAAGCGGGGGAGAGTGTAAAGCATACGGCCACCATTGCAGGTTGTTCGAGTCGGCTTACCTGCGCGGTGACATCACCACCCTGTGAATAGCAGGGACCACAGCCGTCGGACTGGGGGGAGATTTCCCTTTGGCTCAAGTGGCTGGGTTCGAGTCCCCGACGGTGGTGGGGGCTGGCCTGAGGTGGCACATTCCCACATGAACATGCAAAATCCATTGCTCTACCCTTACCCGGGTAAATAGAGGAACAGAGGTGCAGAATTGTTACTCTTGTGCTGGTAACAGAGCACTTGAACTTGGCAGATGGGGTTACTGGTCAAAGTCACCATGCATGGTCACGTGATCACCAGAAAAACAAGGTGCTATATCTTGGGAACGAAAGCAGCACAAATACTACTTTCAACAGCACAACGGTTTCTAAAAATGCAACCAGTTACCAGATATTGTTTAAATAAAAACTGGGAAATGTTTAACAAATCGCGATCTTTAAATTGGTAGGTTGCAGGCTTTGTGTTATTCACATTTTTATTTCATTATTAATATCACTTAACATTGAATATGAAAAACACAAAAAAATGTAAAGATAGTGTACATAATTATTTACTATTTTATTTTTTTTAAGTCTTTATAAGAAGAAAAACTTGTGCTTGAACCAGGTATTGAACTCAGATCGCCTACATAGAACGAGCAGCTAAAAAATGTTTCTAAAGTAATCATGTGTGAATGAGTCAAATTCAAAATAAAATGTGTTTACAAAAGTGGATTACAGTAATACTACCAGCTATATAAATACATATATTTAGATCCTTAAATTAATATCATTATTAATTACTTTAGATAAGCAATTTCATATTATATTCCCTATTTAGCGGATTCTAAAAAGTATGAGGTTTTTTACTGTGATAACACGCAAGTATTCATAGAAAAGGTTAATCGCTTAACTTTGAACGTGTTGTGATATTTAGAAGTATCAATATAGTGTCAAAAATATTTACTATTTTAGTTTATCAAAGGAATGTTTATTTGTTAAAAGAAAGCTCATGGCAACAGCTTGGTTTGATCCCCCAACCTCTAGCATGCAAAGTACACACCTACAGTAAGACATTACATGAATGCTCCGCTTAACAACTTAAGCTGTAGCTGAAAAGGCAAGCAGAGTGTTTTCACGGGTGAATGAGCTGAACTTATGAAGACAGTTACATAGAAAGTGGACCATAGTAATACTTTGAGCTTACAGCCTGTCCATGGTCATTATGAATACTATTAATAATATCTTCCGTAAAGACTTTGATGCATAACATATTTATAGATAATTAAAATATTTATGATGAAGGTGGAAGGTTGTGTACTTTTGTACAACTGAGCAATCTTGCTTTTATAAAATATACCGACATTTTAATGTTTAATGATTAACATGCTGTAATACACAGTTTAAAATGATGAAAAGTCTAAAGAGTATACAACTTCAATTCTTAAGTGGAAAACGGTTGTCTTTCAGCAGTGACCAGGATTTGAAACCAGGCGTTTTCTGGTGATAGCTCAAATGCTGTATATGAGACGTTAAGCTTTATGAGCTCCACCTGACGCTTTTACAAGGTGCTTCCGGATACTATTATCATAACATGCATTATGATGCGCCACACCTACCGTGTTTTGATGCAGCGTACTTCACCCATTTTGAATGGCTGGGTCTGTCTGTGCCATTTCATCATTGTTAGTGACATGGAAATGTTATGTCATCTCCGAATGTTATTATTTTCAAATAATCTGAAGGAGATACAATCATTCTTGTATAATGAGTAAAGGAGTGGTGACAATTGGCTTTGAAGGAAATGTTGGCAGAGAGACCACTGGCTGACTTATGGATCTCGGTGCAAAGAAAATACCCAGGCCTGAGTAATATGACCTTGAAGAAAAGTTCTCCCGTTCGCCTCAACCTGTCTTTTGGGAGTTTGGCTTTTCAGCGCTAACTTTCAGTACATGAAGAACAAATACAGAGCCTGTTTCATGGTTGAAGATGATCTGCATCTTTACCTCAGCCCAACAAATCTCTCTGCCTGTGCAAGTGCAACCATCTCATTGCGTGACTAGTATTTTTTCCCACTACAGTTTTATTTTTCATTTGAAATAGCAATATGTTTTTTTTTGCACAGGGGTTGCACACCTTTTCAGTCATCTTAACAAAAAAGTTAAGAACAGGACACATAGGGTATATATTTTTTGCCAAAGATACAATTTCCCACCTGAGAGCGATCTAATGTAACAGTAATGTAAAAGTAAGACAAAGACTACATTAGTAGAGTGTATTCTATAAACATCAATTAAAAATACTGTACATGTACTGACATGGCTAATCCATTTAGCTTAATCCACAGGGAGAAAGGTATGGAGAGGTTTCTACTGCCATGCGAGTACAGCAACACATAGAACTGTAATAGAATCTGTGTCACTCTCACTAAAAATGAGACTTTAGTATCCAATTAACTATAGTCAATTTTTTGGTAAGAGAATTGGGCCATTTATGGGAAAAGCGATTGATGTAGCAGAACTCTGACCCAGATCCCAAATAACACAGACTGGCTTAATTTTCCTAAATTACTAAACTAAAATGAAGTGGAATCACAACCCATTTGAACAAATAATTTCTCATACATGTCAATATATAAAATGTGGTTTTGCATAATTGCATTAAATGCTTAGCTGCATACTTATTTTTGTTGTGATCACATTTGTAAAATCTTAATAATTATTAACAGTGACTTTTGTGACAATAACAAGTAGCATTTGCTTTAGCAGCAGTGTAACTGCATTGCATTTTTTAAGGTTTTACATTAAATTGAAATAAATATACATTTTAGGGAATTTTGAGAGTAAATTAAATTCAAATGATTTTGAGCAACTGATGTTGTGGGTGGCACAGTGGTGTAGCAGTTTCAGTGCTACCTCGTGTGCTCAGTTTCATTCTGGACTGGGGTGTTGTCTTTTGTGCATTTTGCATATTTTCCCCACATTCATGTTGGTTTTCTCCATGTTGCTGTTGTTTACCCCCACCTTGCAAAGACGTGCTTGCTATATTAATACATTTAAGATTACTTAAAACCTAATCTGTGATCAATTGAAGGTTTCCATCACTAAGCTTTATTATGCATTTTGGTCCCAAAAAAATCTATGCGGACATTTTTGGTAATTTAGTCCTCCTGCCACAAGATGGTAGTCTAGTCTCCAAACTCGCGATATGATGTGAAGTATCATCTCTTCAATTTAAAATGCAACACGTCTTAACAGGTTTACCTTTTAGCAAATAAGCTACAGAATGGCCATAGATAGCCGCTTCCATATTAGTAAGAATTTCATAAAGTTAACCAGTATTTTGTTAGAAATTTAATTTTAGATTAGATAATAGTTTTAATAATTAAGCTATTACAGTTGCAAGTTATGTGAGGGTTTATTTAATTTAAAAATATCTGAATATAATTTTAAGAAGTAATTTATTACGTTTCAGTTCATTACCTAAAAAGCATTTTCTCCTAACATCTAATTAAGAAAAAAATCATTTAACGAGTAACTCTTAACCATAAAATATTATTCATAACTGACAGGTTGTGGGTGCAACTCCTTGCTTCATATAGTGCTGTTATATCCTTGAGTGAGGTACTTTACCCCAGAGGTGGCCCAGGAAAGAATCACTTAACGTTCAACAATATTAACCAGCATTTTCCAAAATAGGATTTTATAGGTCTCTGGGTTTTTGTTGTTAACCAGCCTAACATCCCACTATGGCAAAATGAGTTAAACTTGTGTTTTCTAGGAAAATAATTATACATATGAATTTGGTTTGCTTTGATTTTAAAAATACACCTGGCTACTTCTAAACCAAATTTACTCCCTGTTGCTTTTTGCATAGGTGCAGTATTTGATATACTATTTGTATATCAGTGGATATCACTAACAAATCCAAGTAACATATTTGCCTTTTAGCCTGTCATTAATTTTCTTCTTTTTGACCATAACTATTATTATTGTCAGCAATTATGGGTAAAATCGGAAGAAACTCAATATCCAATTATAATATTTGTGAATAGTATCTAAGTTTTAAAAAATAAAATCTTCAACTAAATTAAACCGCAGCAGGTTTAGTTGTGATTGTAACTGTAAATGCCATAAAATGTCAAACAGTGATACTTGAGAAAAAATGTAGAACAATACCTGGTTAAATGTTTGAAAAGGAACACAATGAATTGTAAAACAGCCTGTTATGTCCCAGAGTGTGGTCCATGTGTGTTTTGTTGCTGTTCCACACTTCCTGACCTTGATTGTTCTCCCTCCCCCATTGGTCCATCATTACATCACTGTTTCTGTGTGACTTCCTCTTGAATTAACTCTCGGCCAATCAGAACACAGATTATTCAGTATATTAGTTGGAGGTTGTCAGAAGGGGCCTTTCATTTGACTTTGGTCCCGCTTCGCTTTGCGCTTCGTTTGTGTGTGTTTTTGCATAGCTTCGGCTTTGTTGATTTGTGTTTGTCTCTTTTTACTTTTGTTTGTTTATGATATCCTTAATTTACCCATTACCTTGTCCAAAGGTATTGTATCAACCTCTGTGTTCTCTTGTACCCTGTTACTTGTCTACTCTCGTTTGTATTCGTAGCTCACTTGTGTATTTGTG